ATTGCCCAGCGATACGTTATTGGAGATTTTCCGGTCAAGGTAGCTGTGTAGCGTTCGACAATCAAGTTTTTTTACTTTGATTTTGTTGCGCACGCTTGCTTAGCCCCAGAAATTGTTGCCGCAAAGCAAACGACACTATTTTCTAGGGTAAAAAAAACGCAGTTGGTTGGCTGTTTTTGAGATTATATTCAGCTAACTTTCCAAACAGCAGCTAGGAATACGCAACCATAGGAATATAGGGAACTGGATAGGCCGACTGACAAAAGTGTGTTGGAACAGTAAAATAATAAAAAAGACTGTTGATGTACTAGCCGCTTTCACGATGGATTACGGTGCGTTTAAACCTCAGTTTCTATTTTCTAATCACGCACCTATTATCAGTGATTTTCTGCTATAAATGCTTCGCTGATATTGAAAAATAGATTTGCCAAGACGCAAAATTTGATGAAATTGCGGTCAGCTGAGTATAAGCAAGAACAAGCTTTTATGGCCAAGTATGATGTCGGATCTCTTCCCACCGAAAGTTTTCAAAACTTTTTAAGAACATTCAGTGGCATCTCTGACGCAGGCGCGACAAAACAAAACCATATATTCTTGTAGCGTTCTTGTTCATAGACATGCAGTACTTACGGAGATTGCTTACAGTACTTACAGAGCTTACTTACATTACTTACAGCGCTCACTTACAGTACCTAAAGAGCTTGCTTACCTCCTACAGAGAACCTATAGCGCCTTCAACCTTAACATGATCCGAGATGAATGTTCCTTAAATGAAACGATCCGCGAAGCTCGCCTTGCTCCACACAGCACCGATGTAAACCACAATGACGCAGCCAACATCCAAGGACCTCAATCGATGTACATTGCTGATTTCCAGTTATAGTATTTTGATAGAATTTGGGTAAACTGAAGGCATGGTCTGAAGCAATGTCTATAAAGGGTCTCGTCTGATATAGCGGCCTGATCCTAAGTTTGACATACGTGGTTAACCCGTTGCATTTTAATGGAATTGCATGACAACAATCTTTTCCTTTTCAGAGTGTTTAGGATATACTTGAAGTTTATAAGAAATTGCAAAACCCAAAGTCCTTTCAGTGCATTAATCATTGGTGAAGACGGCTAAGACGATGATAGCAATTTTCAATCTGATCACTGTGGATGCAGCTCTTTTGAAGGTGGTGAATTACGTAAAAAAACGGCACGGTGAGAAGTGTTGCAATCACCCCCAAAACTTTCAGGGTGCATGAGTGTCTCCACACAGAACAAATATGTTCGTGGGATCCTAATCCTGCGCATGAAGGTCTGAAGCATAATCTCTGTTAGCATCAATGTGTTTCTTCGGTGTATTTTGAAAGGCGTCCCCAGTAAATACCGTATGCCTTGGTGACCTTCAGTGGGTTTAATCATACAGTGTGGGTGAACTCGACAGGTCTTCTCATGGAGCTGGCATCTCTGTAATTGCCCTGTATAAGCGCCTAACGTCCTGTCAGTGACCGCCCCAGGATGGCGTCCGTATAAAAGGTCCGCACGGAGTACACGACACACGGTCGGCACACGTCACAAGCTCGTAAAAGCGACGTTGGAAATGCAACAACTGGGCGAATCTTGCCGGCATCGGCGCCTCGACAAAGTTAGGCGATATACTGCTAACGGTTTCATGGTGATCATCATTTTGTTTCGTAAGATGCGGTGTGCTTCGAATTCGTGCACATGAGGTCTTTTCATGTTTGCTTGGCACATATCTTATTGGCGACAGGCAATAAGATTTGCAGCACTCTGTGTTACATGCCTTGCATTATTTTTTAATAGTCGTGGCAATGCCATGAACAGTATGGAACAGATGAGCTGAAACACTTTGTTGTTTTAAAGTATCGAACGAATAAAGTCGTGTTTTTCACACCCAAAAGTGCCACATTGGTCTTTACAAACTACGCTTTCTTGAGTTCCCCGCTGGTCGGGATTTTGCTCCAGAAGCAATCGCCTATTGGTGGAGAGTGGTTAAATCCCGGTGCATGCATACCAACTCCATCCAATAGAACTCTGGAAAATTTGCTCGTCTGATTAGCCCCGCCCCCTGCTTTCGTTTACAAAGGTGATTTATCGCCGGAGGTGTTTCATCGGCCCGACATCTGCGAAATTACACAAGTTACAAGTGACGTCATTATGTATGCTATGCGCCAGCGTTATCTCATTTACCCCGTAAACGTTTTCAATGCTAAAAATTAAGTTGAAGTGTTCATTTGGACTTCCCAGTTGGATCTGATTAATTTTGTGACAGCGATTGAGCTTAGTATCTTCAGAATGGTGCTACAGGTGACGGCTATTCAAGGTCAGATCTTGTAATCTGGCTTTGATTCGTCCGATGGATTAGCAGTCAAATGCGATTATCAGCAGCTTATTTGTGCAATGAATTATGCCAGCACTTGTGTTATTTAGGCGATTCTAGGCGACCTAAAAGAGATATGAGCTTCCCAATAGACAGAGACAGATAGACAAGACAGATAGACAAGACAAATGCCGCTTGAAAAAGATGCGAAATCTTTTTGGAAACGCACAAATGGTCAGTGATGGCTGCAACTACTGTCCGCAGGCCCGCACTCGTGGTGTCTATGACAGCTGGGTAATGCTGAACCAACAAGGTAAAACAATGAGAATAGTAGCTTTCTATGCTGCTAAAACACGGTTATCTAAAAAATTCAATAATTTCTCGAAAGCTCGTGGTGCACAAGAAGACCCATGCAGTCCCGATTCCCCCACCACACGCGCCACACATGATCTCGTATGGACTCCGGCTGAATCATGTGGCCGCGCCGCTGCCAACTGCGACGCAAACGGAACTGCCGCGATCAACAGCGGCAGATTAACGCGGGATGGCAAACACGGAGTGTATTTCATCAGCGGACTTCACGTACTATACAAGAATGGTACGTTATCAGAGGTTCAACAGGCCATGGGGCGCACACGGTCACGCAAATCGGGTGCGAAGAGGGTGGCGGCACAATACGCATCACTTCAGATTCAACTGAAAATAAATTGCGCCGAAGATGACCCCGGGCCCAAGCTCGCTCCGGCCCGTGTTACATTCAGGGCTGATGAACGAGGTAAGCGGTTGCAAATGCTGTGAGGCAGCCTCATCACACAGTTTGGTTTCAGCGCCAGTTCGTACGGCTTCGTTAGATCCTGCCAAAAATGACGCAATGTTCATCGACACACACACATCACGCCGCCGTCCGCCACATTAGAGTCAGAGCGACTGCATGCATTCTGCTCATATGCATTGACGCCTCCGTGTCTCCCGCATACGAAGCTTTCGTCATCTCATGTAGCGAATTCATGGGCATGAAAACGTCTGGAATCATTGGTAAGTCTGACGCACGCTCCACACGGCGCGTTTGGTTGAACTGCTGGACAAAGCCCCAGATTTTGAAAGAGGAACTGATGCTCATTACAGAATGCATTATTCCATAAAACGTGTGCATGTTTCAAACGTATAGTGTTCGGGAGCGCTTTAACGAGTGGATCCGATAAAATAAAACGAGACCAAAAACACCTCGTCGGCGATCACTTCACTACCCCTTATCATACTTAAATCGTTGACACAAACTCGCTCAGACATCTGTCAGGTCTGTAAAGATGTTGCCAAATTAAAGAATTGCAGAATCAATGCTAATAAGAAACTTCAAACCTAGGTTGAACACGACGAACTTTCTCTGGAGCCTCCCATACGATACCGTCTGGCAATGCAATTACTATCCATTGGACCTGTTCGAGATTATGCCGCCTGAGAGCATTGCGTGCTACGGTTTTTAGGCGTTCTACCGCACAACATTTGTGATTTGAGTCGACTGTGTGCTTTATGTAGGTGCACTAAGGAAGACCCACGGTCGATTGTTATCTAAGTTTTCCTGGACTGTTCCATTGCATCGTGAGCATCAGGTTATTCTTACGTTTATCTGCATACATCAGGACTGCTGACGTTCATCTCATTAGCGTTCTTTAACATTCGTTTTCAAGTTCCTGATGCCTGAGTTTTCACTTGGCAAACAGTCATGGAGTGCGGGAAAACAAATTTACACGTGAGAGCCAAGTCAGCTTTGGCGTTTGGGACATAATGCGACCATATGGACTTCCGACACCTAGGATGGAAAACTTCAGTGTTTATCCATCATACAGTCCAAATAAATTAATTTTGAAAATCCCCGAATTGCCGAATAATCTTCATACTGTTTGCTTAAAGATTTGTATCTGAAAATATGCGTAGCAATATTTGACGTTGCCTGTAGTGATAAAATATACCATGCAGATTCCAAGAGCTTCGTAACTCCACAATGCACAGCGGATCCAATCGTGCAGCCTTTGTTCACACCACAAGAAGCACATTGATTGCAAGCCATCTATCAGTGAACGGCTACAAATCTGTACAAAATCTATACGGGAGCAGGCACCTGACTCAATGACTGGCAGCACTCATCTATAAAAATAACTCCCCGGGGAGACACCCTCACACAGGTTCACAGTCGCTCACACGCCCTCTGTCTCTTCGACTAGCTTGCACGACGCCATCGCCATCGGTGCGCGCGACGAACGCACTGCACAAGGCAGAGCGACGCGCGGGACGAGCGCACTGCACAGGGGCAGCGCGGCGCGCGCGACGAGCGTACCACACAGGGCAGAGCGGCGCGCGGAACGAGCACACTGCACAGGGCAGCGCGGCGCGCACAATGAGCGCACTGCACAGGGGCAGCGCGGCGCGCGCGACGAGTGTACCACACAGGGGCGGAGCGGCGCGCGGAACGAGCGCACGCGCGGCACGGCTGTCGTCTCTATCCAGAGCTCCGCCGTACACCGCCAGCTGCTGACGGCTCCTAGGGCTCGCGGAGAGTCCCACAGATCACCACCCGCCCGATGAGGCGTCCCGCGGAGCGACGGCGGCCAGCGAGGCGGCACGAGGCGCGGCGTCGGCCAGCGCCCGGCGCTACCGCCGGCTGGCCGGCCGGGCTCGCCGCGCACCAGTACTCTCACCAACACAGCCACTGGTGCGCCAGTAACGTCGCGCAGCCGGACGCGGTGACGTGAAAGTACACAGCGCGATGGTAGGTGTGCGACACTCAGCTTGTGTGACAGACGCAGCTTCTGTGCGCCCTCTAGCCTGGAAAGCCAGACAATGCGTGACCGGCACATCAAGAAACCGACTTACGAAACAGCGTAATGATATTCAGGCAAAAGCTCAAATGGTATTGACAGGGTTCCAGTGACGATTTTCTTGCGGCGAGCCACTAAGCAATACTTATAGTTTTACTAAGTAATGACATATCGGCACTCAAATGCGTCAAGCGAAATATATACGAGGCAGTTACGAGCAATAAATTGTGCAATCTTTCAATTGCCTTTTATCACTAGATCTTCATGACACATGCTAACAGATACAGCTATTTTGGCCAATTACGTCCCGACTAAGCCTTTTAATCGATCACTGGTGAGGGCTGAAAACCTGTTAGCCTATCTCAAAATATCAAAATCAGCTTTCAACCGGCAGAAAAAGCGGAATTGACGGCGGCGTGAAATAAGCACGACGATAAAACAGGCCACCGCGATGGGACTTGACTAAATTTTGTGGTGTAGACTAAACTTTGTGGTGTAGAAAATAGGCATTCACGTCGCGGCATCAGGCTGCGCCCGAGACGACGGCGCGACCCTCAAATCTGATATTCTACGTGGTCACAAATCCTGTAACTGGAACCGCAGTTCTAAGTAGACTGATGATATTAAGATATCCCAAACATGAGCGTGTATTTCTTGAATGACTGATGACATTGGAATATGCGGCACATGCGCGTGTTTTAGACAACTGGAATAAAGATACGCATGTGTTTCCATACACGCAAACGCGCCCGAAAAATGAAGCGTCCGTGTGATCGAAGCTGTGTGCTCGATTACTACACGCACTCGAAAAATAAACCGTCTGGGCACCCGAAACTGTGTAATCGAGTGCTACACGTACCCGAAGAATAAATCTTCTGGGCATTTCGTTGTAGAGACATCAAAAGAGCATTAAACGGAAAGACTTAGAAAAACAACGGTAGCAATATCATTATCACTATATTAGTTTTGCCACATTTTGCATAGCAACGAAATTCTGGACTGAATCAAATCCGAACGAAAGGTATCGCATGCTAAGAAATGTACTGTAAGCTATCGCTGGAGGGGAACTTTTCTGTCGTCTGACAAGAGTGCTCAGAGGTCCCATGTCGTCTCGAAAACTGATGTGCGAATGCAACGTGAAAAGTGGTGCCGGTTGGTCCGCTTCAACCTACATATCAACGTCATTAAGCTTCATGGAGGTAACCGTTATATACTAGACCAGGTTCACGGGGTGGGGAAATTGCACTTAGGTTCGTTTGCAATCTTTAGAGAAAAGCGTTAATACAGTGGAGAATGCGTGTCGGTATGCCACGATTGTAACGGGTGACATAACAGTGTGAGATGATTTAGCGTGACACCGTTACACTGAATCATGCATGTATCAACCCACCTGGGGTGGCCCGCGACATGCCAAACTAGGTCACATATATGTCACGCTTTAAATACCTCAGCTGCATTCCGATGTATCAAAAACGACCGTACGACAGCGGAATACACGAGAGCTGGCAAAACTTTCCAAACCACATCAAGCGGCGGTTCAGTGGACGACAAAGTGTGTTGTGAAAGCCCCCCCAAAAAACAGCAATGTCCGTAAATATATTTCCATTTGAGGTGACCTACCATGACCGTGAGTAACATGGCCTCATGCATATCTCAGAATGCATTTATGTAACACCGAAGATACAAAAATCGGAACCGGTGAGTTATTTAGAACGCATGCTCTCCAGCAAACACACACACGGGGTGCATGAGCACAAAGTGTGCCCGACGTGACCCCGCAGAGGGATTGGCACCGGTGACATTTGAAGAGCATATTTTCAAAGTGTCGTACCATCACGTGTAGAAGTGTCCAAAACTCAGTTGCCAAAAATATAGCACTGTTCTCGTTTTGAATGACTCGTATTTGTTCCAGAAGGCAGTCCAGAGGCTCTCAGTCTCGGGAGGTTTCAGCACGCTCACGCGGTCAACACAGGCCAGCAGAGCAGCCGATCAGACACGTGATCACCTGACGCCACGCGGCTCCGCACTCATCTCCGCCCGTCTCGGCACACCCATCGGCAACAGCGGCGCCGGGGGATGCATTAGCGCAACACCCAAACTTTTCAGCCGATCCCGGAGAAGATTACATTACATCTGCATATAAATGGCGCATTACTGGGCGGCCAAAGCATTCAGTTCGGCGGCCAATTACATGTCATTGCACGCTGGAGCGAGGAGAGGGTCGCGACATTTCACAAGGGCACCGTGAAAGCCAGCTGACACCACCGGACGCCGCCGCAGCCGCGCAGTACGGCGACCGCGCCGGTCGCTGTCTCGCACCGCGCGGCCCGCCGGCCTACTCACGTTCAGAATCGCAGAGGCCAGGTGACCAAGGCACCGGCGAGCACGTGGATGAGGAGGGGAGGAGCCCGGCGGGCCTCTACCCCGCTGGGACTGGCGATTCGGGACTCCAGCGCTGGAAACACTATCGTCAGAGTGTGGCACGTGGTCCGGGAGTAAACAGCATCGGGGTGTCGGTATTAAACAGTGATTGGGTTGAATATGTTGCGGAATGCTCTGATGAAGCAAGTTTGATTCGACATGTATGATTCTCTAACAAGCTTATATTCAGACGTCAAATCTGATTTCAGCACAGCCTACGTAAGACTAAGATTAGAACTATCATGTTAAATACTAGGTAGATGGCAGCTGCTTGTGCTTTCTCTCAGTAATCAACGAAGTTCGCTTGATATTAAATTCATTCTCACAACACTCTGCATATATGCACATGTACGTCGCAGAGCTCACTGGAAGGACCAGCAAAATGAAGGTCAAGTGTGAACTTTCGGTGTCATTAGATGTGCAGAGCCCATATCGCATACCGTTTAGCATATACCCTGAGCCCAAAGCTACCCATATAAACCAAACAGAACGGACTGACAAAATTCAAATAAAGACCAAAAACATTCCATTTCACCCATAGTATTGGGTTTACAAAAGCAAGACGTCTGACAACGCAACGCGACGCAATACGTATGTCACTGCCTCCTCCAAACGAGACAGAAATCCAAATATAATATGCCCGCATCACAGAGTATCCCCTTTCAGTGATTGGACAGAAGTGAAGAGCATGTCAAAAGGGCCCATGCTCACCTTCGCCTTTGGACAGCGTGGAGAAGTGGAACATGTCTGAGACGGCGTTCCAGCCGTGCCGGTTGCTGGCCTGGATGTACAGGTCGTAGGTGGTGGCCGGCTGCAGGTGCCGTAGCGTGATCTTCTGGTGGTGCAGGATGTCGTTGACTGGCTCCGTGCCCGTGGTCGGTACAATCACCTCCTTGAACTGCGACGGTAACGCCACCGTAGAGTTGAACTGGGGGGGGGGGGGGGGGGGCGATGCTCAGTTCCAGTTTGCTTTGGTGTTCGTGTCAAGCAGAACTTTTGGGTACACTGTGCTACATGGATACATGTCCATTTCGCTAGCCATATTACACGCTTACCACCAGCGGTACGACTATACTGCACTAGCTCTGTTGGGGTTTTGTAGAGGGTTTGTGCGGAACAGAGCAATTAAGTCGTGCCAAACACGCAAGTGCATGCGTTTTTGAGTCTCAAGAGAACGCCACTTAAAACTTACACATGAATAAAACGGAGGTTAGTCACACTATCGATATGTTTGCTCACCGACCGATGCTTCGGATGAAAACTAATTTTCCGTGATACATCGCTTCTTTTACCCATTCCCACGTAAAGTGACAGGGAAATGTAATGCTGCTGGGATTACTGCTGAATTTCAATGTTCACATTTCTGTTCATGTTTATGCTCAATGTGCACTTTTGTTTGACGTTCATAAGCTGCCAGCGTACGAACCTTGCTCCTTCTGTATGCGACTTTGTACTCGTGTATGGCGCTGTAGCTTTCCACCTCCCAGGAAAGGTCAAAGTCCTCCGGAGCCGTGCTGATGGGGGGACTTGTGATCCTCACCCGGTCTGCCACACCTGGACGAACACACACGGCAGCGTCTGTCATAAATTCATGACATACAAAGGGCGGACGTACCTCTGTTCTGGCAAACTATGCTGCCAGGATTGAAGAGCAAACAGCGGCATGTCTATGTACCCAAATGCATGCCTTTTGAAGCCAAGCACGTCATGCACAGAAAATCATTCCAGTTGTCGGCGGGATCACATCGAGGATTTGTGTCCGGCAGCAATGTGCTGGCATGTCATGAAAGCGATTCGCTTTGACATAACTGTCTGATCACTTGAAGCATCAACCAACTATACCGCTATAGGTGACCTAGCGCGGTACATCCGAGTTTTGGTATTCTAGGCACATGAAAACAATCCTGCTGGATAAAAACACAAGCGAAACCATTTTTGGATCACCAGGTTTTGATCATGGCCGGTGATCCACACGGAATATTTGGAAAAGATAACCAAATCCTTTCTAAAAAAGGATATGAGCCCAACGGCTTAAAAATTGGTAAAATGCGCGAAACTTTACTATGTATTCACTTATAACTCGGCGTGTGTAAGTCAATTTAACGTACAGATATGACAAGGCGTCATACGCAATACATAGAACCACCGCCAACGCGTATTTTCTTCAGCATAATCGATAATGTTTAGTCATCCGCGCTTGTCGTTCACAAAGCGACGTTGTTTCTGTGGTTGCGTGAAACGGCCGGAAATAACTGGCATATTCCCGAATTTGTCACCGCCGCTGACACCACGCAACAAGCTGACGAAACACCGGCCCCTGCCCCTATTAGTCATCCAACCACCACAGTCCTACACGCCCGGAACACAAAGACTTCCATAATGAAACCGGCCTCGAGCCGTCTGAGGAGCTTCATATCTCCGCGGCCATCGCGTGTGATCAGGGGCCGTGCATTTCGGCGTGGCGTGCGTGCGCCACATTCGGCGCGCGGCACGGCAGGCCCGCGGCCGCAGTCGGGACGGGTCGGGGGCGGCCCGAGGGCGTGCGGAAACGGAACACACCACACCGTGCGTCTAGTGTTCACGCACGCACGTACGCAGGAGTGCGCCCATACGAATAGGAGCACGCGCCCAGTGCAGCCGACCGGGTACAGCATCCAGACGCGGTCCGTGTGAAACGTTTGGGGGCCTATTACGGCTCGAGCGGCGTTTCCGCTGATTTACAGCCTGCTGCACGGCGGCCGAGGCGGCGGCCGAAGCGGCGGCCGAAGGCCGGCCCGCGCCGTCTCCTCCGCCCGAGCCATAACCGGCGCGGCGGCGACAATCAGGGCGCCGTAGTGGACCCTTACGGCCCGACGTGCGCCATTTGGCCAATTTCATCGCCGCCATTAGGAGACCTGTATTGCAACGGTTTATTTTGGTTTCGGCGCCGAGCCGACCAGGGCAGCGGACGTTAGGAGGCTTGAGAGGCGGCCGGCAGAGAGAGGCGTGTCTGGAGCGTCAGTATGCGGGGCCGGTGAGGTGCCGTCCCTCGACCGCACGAGGCCGGAACAGTGACTCAGTTTCCGTGGCGTGATAGCGACAGGCTTTGCTCACCTGTGACGATCATGCGTCCCTTCATGGAGCCCAGTCTGTTACTGGCCTCGCAGGTGTAGGTGTCGAAGTCGTCCTGCTGCACGCTCCTGATGGTCAGGATGTGACGCGTGCCCATGACCACGTCCTCGGAGATGACGTGACGG